TTTCATTGAAGACGATATCCGATCTCGGTATGCAGATTGGATCGCAACGACGTTAACTGTCAAGCCGCTGTTACATGAAGACATATTACCGCAGCTGAACCGTGCCTGCATTCCCGGCGTCCTTTTCTCTCTGTCCTCCTCGGCCAGAGGCTAACCACAATTATTCTATTAGACGTTAGATCACCGTCGACAATAGTAAGTCGACGGTTCGACCGATCGATCGACGAATCGCTCTTGATTCACCCCGCTTGGTCCGTCTTTCATGCCCAGAAGCTATTTATGGCTACGTTCATACTCTCGGGCATCGTAGATGAACCGTGTTTCCAAGTGTCGTGAAATTGATCCCGAACGTTGTCTAATAACAGTTCTGTTTTATCGACGTGATTCTTCCATAACACGAAGTTGTCATGAAAAGTGGCGATGGTAAGAATTTTTTTTCTTTTAAGGTGAATATCGTTGGTATGGAAATAAAGTTGAATATTTTTTTGATGATAATACAGAAAATATTAAGGATAGAATATTTTTTATAAAACTTTCTTTTAATACTGTTTATGATAAATTCGGGTTTTATGGTAAAATGGTTTTAATAATAGCTAAGCTTGGCTTTCTAATCATTACTTTTTATTACTGTTATTATTATTACGTCTTTATTGCACTATTATCGTATAATGTGTACAGCTATCGGTTAATCTTAATAGACATATTAGAGCAAGATGCTGGTATTAAACCTAACTTTACTATTTCTTAAACCCAAATTGAACTTAACCTCTTTTATATAACAAAGACATTCTCATTTCAAATATACCTACTATGAATTTTATTTTTAGTGAAAAATAGAAGTGGAATGGACAATTTTCCTTAGTTGCTTCCTTACTATAAAAATTCTAAGCAGTCTGGAGAATTGATAGGCCAAAATTACATAGATGTTTCGCTTACACTGTGGTTTTTAAAAGCAAAAAATACGCAAGATTAAGGAAACGGATGACGTACAAATTAATGCGTGCGAACAGCAAGCGCCGGATACGCTAATGCTCCTTCTTACCGTAATCTCGCTACGAAAATGAGCCACTTCTTGACCGAATTGTCCTCTAGAATGAGAAATAGATACTGCACCAGCAATATTATTGAAACAAAACAAGGATTTTTTGATGAAACTAAACAACGTTGCGCTAA